TCTACTGGGCTGACTTAATCATTAAGGAGGTTTGGCAGGTTTGGTTAATTTAGTTGAAATTGGGTAAACTAAATTAACCAAATCTGCCAAACCTCCTTAATAATTCCTATTTAATTTCAACATTAAGGCTTAGCTAGTAGAGTCCATTATTTGTCAGCAAACAAAATGCTTTATATATGTTGCCTCGCAGAGACTGTTGTTGTTTTTGTCATTCGCACTTTAAAAATTTACTAATTTCGGTAAGCCAATTATAGCTTTCACCATCGAAACCAAAAATCCTAGAATTATGTAATGTGGGACCGGTAGTAATGATATTTTTATTTTGTTAATTTATTTATGTTAATTTATCTTCCAACAACTGCGCGCTTTTTTATATATAAGCTTTGTACAATAATTCCGTCTTCTATTTCCTGTTTTGTTTCCTCTCTTTCTTCTACTTTTTCTCCTGAGCCCCGTAATGTCTCACCCATATATCTCCAGTTACCATCGCTCCCGTAACACAGAATTATCGGGTTTTCGGTTTCTGTGGTAGTGCCTATAATAGACTGATACCCAGCTTTCTCCCTCAGCATTCGCGTATTGGGTCAGCCTGTATATCTAATTCCTGTTATTTATTTGTTGACAAATTGTCTTGCGCACGGTACTGTTCAGAGCCCCTGTAATTTCGGTCATTCAGACTCGACAAACATCACATTTTTGCTAATTTATGCAACAGCCACATATTGCGTTTGCTCGCGAGGGGTTTATTAGGTCCTGATTTGGGGAATTAGACAGGTTTTTCAGTGGCAGTGAAGAATTTTCGAGGTGCAGGATGATAAATATCCCCCGAAACTATCGAAAAGATACTGTGATCGTTGAGCAAATTCCTAAACGATCTAAATCAACGAATGTCGCAAAAAGCGCCTTGCAGGTGTACGATTCTCTGGTACTCCAGATCTGATTAGTACTCGATCTTCAGGATTGGCTACCTAGCCTAGCAAGGGGATTTTTTGGTAGACTAATATATAATAAATAATAATATAATTTATGAGAAAATTCCCTCGTGTAATTTAATTAAAAACTAAAATAAAAAGACTATAATTATCTTTATACAGGGAAAATTATGCAGCAATAATAAAGATACAATACTAAACAAAGACAAAATACTAAATATTATATAGTAAAAATAGTCATGCCAATAATACTTAAATATACTAACACTTAAAAATACTAAAAACAAAATGCTAACAAATATGAAACGCCTCTCGAAGAAGTAGCGAAGAGACATTCAACATGAACGACCAATAAGAAGCGTTGCTCCGACCGCCTGCTACGTCAGGTAGTTCACTGCTTGATCTTCAGGCGAGACGGAAGCTACAAGTGACAACCGAATGAGCAGCGAGCTGTTTGAGTTTTAGTCCTCCACGCCGCATTCAGTTAACAAGCACACTGCTC